ATGGTACCGTTGTTGCAAATTGAAATTTTTAGCTGCTTTTATTTTTTCTCTTCACAATTTTTATTTTTCTCTGTCACATCACAAGAAAAAAAAATTAGATAAAAAAGGAAAAAAAGAAAAAAGAACATGGTCGTGTTCCTTTTATTCTTATCTTTTCTGTGTTTTTGGATAGATGCACATGGTGTCCTCTATCGTTACCCGCGAAAGGAATATCGTCAACTACACACCATAAATCGAAATAGCAATAGATTTTTATGACATTTTATCCGAGGAATTAGTAAGATAATTTTTGATGCGGCCAATAGCTAAAATATTACTTATTGTAAAATTGAGGGTTCTAGTTAAGTTTACTAATTGTATTCTAGATATCTAACATTGTCAATCCAATGCAGAAAAATTCACAAAAAAGATTAATTATTTAACTATGGGTGATAATCGTCTAGATAGTTTTCTCATAATTGATGGCTACATATTGTCAGAGAAAAATGGAGATGAATTTAGAAGCATTATAAATAGATTAATTAATTAATATGTGTGTGAGTAATATACTATAAAATTTAAAAAATATGCAAAATGGAGCACAAGGAAGCATTTTTTGGAAAATATTTTTGACGGACTTGTCAACACATTCGTTTCGAAAAGTTATGCGAAGTTTGAAGTTTTGTCTCCTATAAATATATTTTCAATTTGCAACAATAGTACCATAATAATAAGGATATTTATTAGGAATGTTTCTAATAATGACAGTGATTTTTCTTTATTAATCTGGGTTTACACTTTCTTATAGAATCATTGTTGTAAATTCTAACTTTTGTGAGAGACAAAATATGTCAAATGAGGTGTTATTGTGTAGATCTCGAAAAATTTTGTGTGGAATCAAAAAAAAAATTACCTAATTCAGACACCTGAGTCAAAAGTTATGGACTTTCAAAGTTTTACAGGTAAATTGTTGACTTTTTGTGTCACATGTCAGCAATCTGGTGAAACACACTCTCTTGGGACCTGTCTCTCTCCTAAAACACGCCCTCGTGAGGCGTGTCTTTCTCCATCAGATCACGCCTCCACGGAGCTTGTTTGAATGTTATACATTTGTAAATACATTCAAAACAAATATATTTTCGTAATTTTTTATTAAAAAAACAATATTTAAATTTTTTTGCCTCTTATAATTTATCGTTCTGAGGTAGACAAAATTGAGATAGAGAAGGATAACTAAATAGATTTGTTTTAATTAATACATATATAGTAGTCATGAAATTTTAAAATATAAATAAATATATATATATATATATATATATATATATATATATATATATATATAGAGATTTTTATTTCTACAAAAATCACTTCTACAACCCTGTATTTGTCATTTCAAAATTAATGACACTGCCATTTCCCTTTGTGTCATCAGTCCAACAAATGGAACGGTTCAACGAGCACAGTATTTTCTATAACGTATCAACTGGAAAGTGCTCTATAAGCTAATGACAATGATTTAGTAGATTGATACTAAGTGCTGCCCATTGAATATTTTCATGCTCGTGCTTGCTTGTTTGAATTATACAATGTCCACCTCAAGATTACTGTTTGATTTAAATGAAACTTTTCTTAAATGAATTTAGAGTAAACACCCTTTTTAGTCCCTGGCAATATCTACGAAGTCCTTTTCAGTCCCTGGCAATAAAAAAGGACCAAATTGGTCCCTGAAAGTACAAGAAAAGGGCCACTCTACATATTTGGGAGTTGACATAAGGACTAACATGGTCTTTTCTTTTGTAATTTCAGGGACCAATTTGGTCCTTTTTTATTGTGAGAGACTAAAAAGGACTTCGTAGATATTGACAGGGACTAAAAAAGGTGTTTACTTATGAATTTAATATCAACATTTTCCAGCATAACTTAAAAAAAAAAAAAAAACTTCTTGTGTCAATAATTATGTCATGCCAGTTAATGAAAATATCTTCTGTACTCCATAGCATTGAAGACTCCATACATAATGAAACTGACTGTGATTTACTTATTTGTAATTTACTGCCCAACGCATGAATGTGTCCGTGATTTCCAAATTAACAAAAAACTTTTAAAGCCGTTTGGTACGTGGCTTTTTAGAGGATTTTCAGGAAACTATTTTTTTTTTTTAATTTTAAATTTTTAGATATTAACGTAAACTGAATGTAAAAATTATAATTTTGAAAATCGAAAGTCCCGGATAAAAAAATTTTATCCTCTACCAAACGTCATTTGGTTTCCAGAATTCACATTCAATTCAACAAATGAAAACAAGTTCACAAATTGATAATCTGGACTGTGTTGATTGTAAAAGTAAAGAATTCAAAAAGAATTAAGTATCATTCAACGAAATTTAATTTCTTTTATTTATTCTTTTTCAATTTTATTGAATGTGAATGTGATTGCTTTTTCAATGCAAAATGTAATTTCTAAAATATAAACTAAACCAAGAATGGTCAGAACATGTTCAAATGAGTAAAAATCAGGATTAAAACTGTAGAATTCTGATTTCAATGACTTTCCTTAAAAGTTGCATGTCTGCGGTTTAACTCTTGTAGCAACTATCTTAATGGAATCTGATTTTGGTAGAACTTAACTAGACTTTCCCAAATTCAGTTATGAAATTGATTCATACTAATCCCGTAGTCTTAAACCAATCAGTTATGACTTATAATCAGATTCTTTCTCAAATTATTCCTAAACTTGGAATCTTGAATTAATGAAAATTCATAAACTCAAATTTCCCAATACAAGTTCATGCAAGAAATGTTAAGCCCATTCTCATGAAACTCAAACCAAAAAAGTTTCACTAATCAAAAATCAAGAACATGCACAACAGTTTGAATCAATTAATGGGTATTTGTCATCTTCATCAGAATTCTAGAAAAAGAAATTAACAATGCATATTGAAGATTAAAACAAAAATGAAAATTAACATAACAGAAACCATGTTTTTCATTCACAAAGATTAGAAATAATAGAGTTAAAGGTAACAGACCAATTTGGTTCTTCAAATTCAAGTTGCTACAATTAAGAAAAGCTTAACCACAATACTGCAAATCCGAAAGCATGCATGGGAAAATCCCTCCTCTTGAATCCCTTCAAGAATGATTTCCTTCCTTGTGCATGTTTCTCCAAGAATTTACAAAGAAAACTAAAGCACTAAAAATGAAAATTGATTAAACAAAAATTTTCTTCGCTTCTATTACAATCTGATACTCTGACTTAAACTAAAGCTCCAAGTGTTTCCATCCATTAGATCAAAAGAGCATCCAATGGTTCTCACTTTGCCATCTCAGCTCCTTTATTACAATTGTGTCATCCTGGTTCAAATAGCAAAGAGAGGAAATATCACAGAAATTACAAATATGCCATTATCAACCCAAATACCTTATTGGGTCCATTCTTTGCAATTTGGGTCATTTTTATCTGCACTTTCAATTATATTCAGCCCATTTCCAATAAGAATTACACTGGTAAACTAAGGAAAATTTCCAACTAACAGACTGCAGCCCAAAAGATCATACATAACTTCCTACATTTTCTTCCGACTTCACAAAGCACGCCAAGAGAGATTATTAACAACTAATACAGTGCAGGCTTCTGGAACTTCCCATGAACCCACGCTCTTCGCATACTCTTCCCTTTCTGGCGATTTACAGACTTAACAAAACAGTAATCAAGCTCAAGCTGCAAAGTTCATACACTATGAAATTTAGTGGTAGCCAGCAGAAAACAATGTCAGAAACACTTAAAGAGAAATTTGATACACCAAAATAAATATAGGAAGGTTCTGTATTTTGAAGATACTAAGCTCAATTTTATATAAGAACTTGCAAATAAGTATCTAAATTTACGCAGGATCACAAGTCAACTTATGCTTCTACTGGACAAAAATCAGAGATCCATCAGTTATATTAACCCCAAAAGTTCTTGTCTTCCAATCAAAAAGAAAACTACCTCAGTAGGTTCCGTAGAGTATCCAAACAAAAGAAATATGATTGTGTTCCATCTGACCGCATGTATTACCTGAATCCCACTTTCTTGTCTGACTCAAATCGAAGCATGGTCATATCATAGAGACCTGATTACATGGGGTTCCGTTATTGCAAGCAATTTAGGCTTTAAAAGAAGGGGTTTGTATTCATTATGCAACATGACCACAAAAAATTTCCTACACACAACATTTTGTGGAGCCCGCATTTTTTGAAGCAAAAAAAAAAAAAAAAAAATCACGGCATGAAAAACGAATCTCTATAACATAACACAATCACTTTTCCTCAACATAACTTTTATAAAACCCTTAAAAGAACTATTATGACATTCAGAATTTACTAAAGCTACAGATTTATTTTCTCAAAAGCTGTAGACAGAATAATTTGGTTAGTTTGTTTATTGTAAAGAATCAATTCAACTCAAAAGCTTAAGCTATTGAGTGAAGCCACATTAATGGTTTTATATATCTCAACACGCCCCCTCACACGAGAGCCCACTGGGCTTGAAGGATGGACAATACACAGGCCGACCTACCTGTGCGAAGAAAGAAATTCCACTTGAAAGAAAGTGGAGGACGGTGAGGATCGAACCCGGTTCACCGAAACTCTGATACAATGTAAAGAAGCAATTCAACTCAAAAGCTTAAGCTATTGGGTGAGGCCACATTAATGGTTTTATATATCTCAACATTTATTACCAAAAGGTAATAAATAACCTCTTTGCAATTATGCAAGGGTAAGGTTGCGTACAAGGATTACCTCCACCCCACACTCGCTAGTCGGGTTTAATGGGGAGTGGTTTTTTTGGTTTATTACCATAGTCCCTAAATAAAACCATGCCTCCTGGTTTTAACACAGTAAAACACTCTTTGATGTACCTTCTCTTGTTTGATGACAAGATATAAATCTAAATAAAGAACAGATGCTGCCTTGCACAAACAATAAATATTTAGTATATAAACACAGAAAACATTAAAATCAGTAAATCCGGTCCATTAGTATCAAGAAATTTCACCAGGCTATTTGGCAAGAGTATAACATGAGGCGTAAAAGAGGAATTGGAACAAATATGTGGTACACAGAAGACTGAAGTAAGCTCTGTCAAAAATTTACCATTAATAGAATCTACCAAGACACTGATAACTAGAAAGAAAAAAAATGAGTCTTGCATGACCAAAACACATTGGTCAATCAATCATCAAGAGAAATAGTGGTCGAACAAGCAAGATCTTGTTGGGAAACCATCCCTGTAAAAGAAGAAAAATATCTCATTACTTATTAAATCATACTTGTAAGAATAATAGGCAGAGATCAAATATCAAATATTTTGTGATCAAATACAAAGAGTTTATTTGATCCCATCAACTATTTACGTATAACAATCGGAGTTCATGAATGGCTTTGTATCTCTAGCACTTCTGATTTTATTTAATAAAGGGGTAATGTGACATTCTGATTTAAGTTCTGTAACTTATATCTTGAAACTCGAACTATTACTTAAGTTTTAACAGTAATATAAATGCCCCATTACAATTTTGCAACTGTCTCTAAAGTAAATTTTGTTCTGAAACTATAATTTGAATCCATGACACAAAGTCAGGTCTCTTATACCTTCTCTAGGTCTGATATTTCAAACCGGAGCAATCCCAATCCATCCAAAGCTTTCAGAAATGTTTTAACATTCTCTCATTGTGATGGCAGAGTATGACCATCTTCATTAACCTAACAAAGAGAATCCAGAGTGAAAGGTATATCTAAAATCAAGTTGTCAATTAATAGTTTGAGCTAATTAAAAGGTTAAAAAGTGTTACCACATTCGCGAAACCAGGTCGTAGCTTGTTCAGTATCTGGCACAAAACTGTGCCATGGCTCAAGCACGTTCTTAAGTCATCATCCGTGATATTTATTGGAAAGTACAATGAAGGAAGAAGAGTAGTTAACCACTGAACCAAAAGTAATCGATGTTTGGCTGAAAATATTCAAATAGAAAGATATTATCATCACATGAATGAACACATATAACATGCAAATTACAAAGAGGTCAATACCTTCCACCTCACCATGAATGGATACTAAATACCCATTTTCATTAATTCCATTGAAAATTTTGTTATGAACTATTCTTTTTCTTTACTTCATTCTGTAATGATGCAAAACAATATTTGTTTTCTTCTGTCTTTACTTCCTTTTCGACCTGCAAAGTCAAATAATAATTAGCAAGTAATATATTTAAACATTATTTGTCAGTGTGATCTATTCATTCAACTTGATTATAGAATACATATTACTAGCTTGCTATGCATATATCAATCTGGGTTATATAAGTAATTTTCATTCTTTGTTTCCTTATTTGTGCACATGCATGTCTGCACTATAAGGTTATCTTTCAACGAGGTTGTCTTATAAGCATAATGTGCTTGCAAATTTGCACCAGATTCATTTTCAAAATGGATTATATTTTTTAATCTTTGGCTTGTACTCAAACTTACTATTTTGGAATCTTATAAAGCTTTTCGAGAACAAAATATATTTCTGCTTTAGCAATATGCTAAGGATGTAACAATTGCCTATAGGGAAGATATGGGTTGATATTGGGTACTCTTGATTCCTTCCCCTGAACTTCCATGCAAGTGAGGAAGCATTCTCTCCTTTCCTTTTATACTCTCATTCACTAACAAATACATCATAATTTTTGATCAAATACAAAGCCATGTCAATACAGCCAGAAATAATCTCTATATCAATATCAAACATCAAGAGATCAAATAACAGCAAAAGGTTTTTTCCACTAGGCAGGGTCGAAACCCAAATCTTTAGAAAGGTCATCATTGTTGCAACAGCATTGCTATGATTTCTAACTAAATGCAATGTATAAACATAATGATTACAGTAGGCTCCAGCAATTATGTCTGACATTTTGTGAAGGACTCCTTCAACAATGCACTTTGATTAACCGTGCAATAGTTTTGGTTCTAGTGGTGAAAACCAAGAAAAAAGCAACTTTGTACAAAGCACATATCACACAATTAAAAAAAAAAAAGTGAAGAAACAGCAACACCAACTTTAGAAGCATACATACCAATTATATATGCGTTCTTCAGCGGCAAAGTTGAAAGATTTGGCTATCTCAGATTCTCAGGACACCATTCTCTGACACAGCAACTGAAATATTTCAAAACAAAAAAGAAATCCTAATCACTCAAATATTAAGTTTTCAGAAAAATTAAGAATAAGAAGCTTTTATGGAGTAGCAATAGTCACAATTGGACAGCATAAGAGGAAAATTAGGTGGAAGCAAGGAGAACTTGCAAAAAGACGAGGTGAGATGGTTGAAGCGGCAGCGAGAGAGTGTAATGCGACACTGGCACGTGTAGAAGAGAAGAGGGTTGAGTATATTGCAAGCGGAGAAGGGAGAAATTGGAATATTGAAGTTAGGGTTGCAAATTAGCTACCAAGAGTAGAAGAGAAGAAGGTTGAGTATATTGCAAGCGGAGAAGGGAGAAATTGGAATATTGAAGTTAGGGTTGCAAATTAGCTACCAATAGTTTCACATGATGCTCCCTCTCACGACATCGTTTGGAGTAAATAAAAACAATTTAAGACCTGTTGTAAATATTAGAATTAGTATTCTATTTATTTATGAGTTTTATAATTCTCATTCAACATGAGAATTAAAATTTTTCTACACACTCTTCGATTTCCGTGCTGACGTGGGTCATGTAACTTGAGATTTTAATTCTCATACTTAGAAGTTAGGGTTGCCTTAAGATATGGGTCGCACATACTTTTTGTCTCTACAACATGAGATTTTAATTCTCATGTAACTTGAGAATTATAAAACCCTTTATTTATTTATAATAGCTAGAATACTCTAGAAGTGTATTTTGGGCTTAGCCCATTAGGTCTTTCAGTACTCTTTATACAGTGAGCTCTTGTATAGATTTTATACATTTCAATAATATACAAAACTTTTTTTCTAGTTGGTATCAGAGCTATCGATTCTGAGGGCTCTGCTTCCGCAAATCACCGCCTTTAAAAAAAACCAAACCCTATTTGCCTCTCGCCGCAACAAAGCTGCCGCCGGAAGAAAAAAAAATTTGGGGACCTTTTGGACAGTGACGACCTTTGTTTCACTCCATTTTCTCATATCTATCATTCTACGCAGGTTTCTTTTTCATCGAACGACCGAAACAAAAAAAAAAAAAAAAAATTGTTCACGGTATTGTTCATCGTCACTGTTCACGCGCACTGTTCACAAAAAAAAAAAAAACAGAAGAGAGATTTATCGCTACCGGCCACTGGAAGAATTTTTCAAGCCCTTATTATGTCGAACGTTGAAGATACTCCAACCAGACAATCATCTGGTACACGTTCGATGGCTATTCTTTCTCCAAATGACCTTCCTCCTCTTCATCAGAATTACCGTCTTAATGGGAAGAATTATTTGCAATGGTCCCAGCTTGTTCATACCATCATTAAAGGGCGTCGTAAAATTACTCATCTTGAAGGACCTGTTCCTGCAAAAACAGATCCAAAATTTGCTGACTGGGATGACGAAGACTCTCTTATTATGACGTGGCTATGGAACTCTATGACTCTTAAGGTTAGTCAACATTGCATGTTCTTACCTACTGCTCTTGAGACCTGGAATGTTCTTAGACAGACTTATTCAATGAAGCAAGATGTTGCCACCTGCTATGATCTGAGGAATAAGATTTTTTCTACCAAGCAAGGCTCTTCCTTTGTGACAGAGTATTATGGCATTTTGAATGCACTGTGGATTGAGCTTGATCAATACAGTTAAATGTAAAAGAATACGTTGTGTATTGATCTGTGTCAGGGAGTTACAATATATAGAGACCCTAATGGGCTTAAGTGTAAGGCCCAAACCTAATCCAAACCTAATCCTAATACAGTCAGAATACAGTCAGACTATTTACGGATAAGACAGAATCCAATCATATCTAATCAAATCTAATCATATCATATCTAATATTCTAACACTCCCCCTCAAGCTGGTGCGTATATATTATGAGCACCAAGCTTGTTACAAATGTATTCAACCCGAGGACCTCTAAGAGCTTTAGTGAAAACATCTGCTAGTTGATTAGATGAGTTGACAAAAGCTGTCTTGATTTCTCCTGACTGAATCTTTTCCCGAATGAAGTGACAATCAATCTCTATATGTTTGGTCCTCTCATGAAAAACAGGATTAGAGGATATATGTAGCGCAGCTTGATTATCACAGATGAGTGTCATGGGTTGTTTCTGTTCACAAAGATGAAGCTCCTGAATCAACTGCTTTAACCAGATCAACTCACAGGTAGTATTTGCCATTGCACGATACTCAGCTTCTGCACTAGATCGGGAAACAACAGGTTGTTTCTTGCTTTTCCATGAGATTAAGTTTCCTCCGAAGAAGACACAATAACCAGAAGTAGAGCGTCTGTCCGAGGGTGATCTTGCCCAATCGGCATCTGAGTAACCACAAATTTCTGTATTTCCCTGATCCGAATACAACAAACCTTTTCCTGGTGCTCCTTTGATGTATCGGAGGATCCTCACAGCAGCATCCCAATGTGAATCACAAGGGGAATCAAGGAACTGATTGGCCGTACTGACAGCGAAAGAAATATCTGGCCTAGTCACAGTAAGATAATTGAGCTTCCCAATCAGCCTTCGATAACGTCCAGGATCAGATAACGGCTCCCCCTGTCTGGGCAATAACTTAACATTAGGATCCATTGGTGTATCAACTGGTTTACACCCCAACATACCAGTCTCCTCTAGGATATCCAAGGCATACTTCCTTTGACAGATAGAAATGCTCTATCTAGATTGCGCCACCTCAATTCCCAAGAAGTAACGCAGCTTCCCAAGGTCCTTTGTTTGAAATGCACTGAATAAATGTTGTTTTAATTGATGGATTCCGTCTTGATCACTTCCGGTGAGGATGATGTCATCAACATAGACTAACAAATAGATGCACTTGTTAGGAGATGTAATCCTATAGAATACAGAATGGTCAACTTTACTGCGAATTAGGCCAAACGCCTGTACAGCAGAACTGAAGCGACTGAACCATGCTCGAGGAGACTGCTTGAGACCATATAAGGATTTTCGAAGACGACATACCTTCCCAGACTCCCCCTGAGCAACAAAACCAGGTGGTTGCTCCATGTAAACTTCTTCTTGTAAATCACCATGAAGAAAGGCATTTTTGATGTCAAGTTGAAGGAGTGGCCAGTGACGAACAGCAGCAAGGGCAAGAAATAGGCGGACGGACGCCATCTTAGCGACTGGAGAGAATGTATCGCTATAATCAAGGCCAAAGATTTGAGTAAAACCCTTGGCAACTAGGCGTGCCTTGAGATGATCAACATGGCCATCAGGTCCAACTTTCACAGTAAACACCCAGCGACAACCAACTATAGACTTCTCTGGAGGAGCAGAAACAAGGTCCCAAGTGCCATTGGTATGAAGTGCGGTCATCTCATCAAGCATCGCTTGGCGCCATCCTGGATGGGAAAGTGCTTCACCTGTGGTCTTAGGAATAGAAACAGAAGAAAGACTAGAAACAAAGGTGAAATGAGGAGGAGAAAGGCGATCATAGCTCAAGAAGGTATAAAGAGGATAAGGGTTACGAGTAGTACGTGTACCTTTTCTTTGAGCAATGGGAAGAGCCTCTGGTGAAGGATCCGGAGGGGAAGAATCAACTGCAGAGGGCAATGAGTCAGCAGGGGTCGAGTCGACTGGAGGTACTGTCTTACGACGCTGATAAGTGAGAAGTGGACGGTCCTTAGGTACTGGAGCAATAGGTGATGGCTTATCTGGAGTAGAAGCACCTGCATCTGGCAAAGACAAGTCAAGAAAAGGAACAGGAAGAACATGATCAACCTGTGACAATGGAGATGGGATAGAATTAAAGGGTTGTTGATCAAAAAAGGTGACATCCGCGGAAACTAAGTAACGCTTGAGGTCAGGAGAGTAACAGCGATAACCCTTTTGAAGACGAGAATAACCAAGAAAAATGCATTTAAAGGCTTTGGATGTTAACTTATCCTTACCAGGAGTGAGATCATGAACAAAACAGGTACAACCAAAAACATGTGGGGATAGAGGAAAGAGAGGAACATCTGGAAACAATAAGTTATGAGGAATATCATTATTAAGCACAGATGAA